GGGTGTGTGTGCGTGCGTGCCCAAGATCCCGAGAGGAGAATGGAGGAGAAGGGATTGCAGCGTGACCATCCCCCCTGGGGGGTGATTCTCACTTTCTGTCTCTATGTCTCTCTTTGTCAGTCTGGCGAGCGCACACGCCCTATAGCGAAAAACCTCTCAAAAAAAAAAAAAAAAGAAAGAAAGAAAAAGAAAAAAAATACATTAGCATTTCGGAGAATAATACCCGTGACCTTTCTGTCCTGTGTCAGAACCTCACCGCCTGGTTATTCATTTACTGGAAGAGAAGAGATTGCAGGATCCAGCTTCCAATTGGAATATCTAAAAAACGGAGTTTTAGTCAGAAGCATCAAGGCCAAAGTGGCCTTGCCAGCATCTACAGAGAACAAAGAGCTGTGCTGTCAGTCTAGACCTGGGTGCCTGACCCTGGTGAGCCACGGTGTGTGCTGCCCACTCTCCAGCCCTGCCACGTCCCGAAATAATGATCTGTGCTTAAGGCCCTCGACCCCTGTAGCACCTCACAGGTTGCTGTCCACTGGACACATACTAAAATGCCCAAAGCATGCTTTCCCATGACCTCAGATACATAAAATAACCCAGAAGATGACGCCAAAGACAGATAAACTCGGAACTATGACTTGTGAGCCAGGATGTAACACAAGAAGGCCAGCTGTGGTGGCTTGGCAATGAAGCAATGCCGGCACTGCTGAGGCAACGTGGAAACGTCTTGGGTTCAAGTCCTGAGGTCTCCCTAGACACACCTGGAGCACACACATGAGCCGAGGTGGCCGAGGCAGGGGATGGATCGCAGAGTGAGGTCCCTGTTGGGAAAACTTCCCTCCCTTCCTCTCTCTCTCAAGACACAAAGAAAGAAATAAACTTTTTAAAAGAGGAAATGAACAACACTGGGCACTTTATTCTAATTATTTTTTGAAAAAAAAATTGCTATAGGGCGCGTGTGCTCCACAGAAAGAGAGAGAGAGAAAGAGAGACAGAAAGCAAGAAATCAGCCCCCAGGGGGGTGTCCACGCTGCAATCCCTTCTCCTCCATTACCCTCACAGGGTCTTGGGCACGCACGCACACGCACCCAGCATGAGTTTAAGCCACTGGGTCCAGTATTTGAACCACTGTCAGCTACATGGGAGTTCAGCAACATAGCCATTGTGCTAACTGCCAATACCAAAACTAGGCACTATAAACTACTTCAGCGCATTCCTTCAGCCTACCTCTAGATAAGCTCTATCCAAGGTACTGACGAGGGTCCACACAGAAAAAGGTTTAACTCACATACACACCTGGGATAGGGGGGCCTTGCTCATGCAGTTGATCCCACCGATGAACACCATGTTGGGCATGATGGGCTTGGGGAAATTCAGAACAAAGTCGTTTCTAATCAGCCAGACAGACGCACTGCTCAGAAGGTCCTGGACAGTCACATCTCTCTGGAGGAATTCTGAGGCGAGTTGTGCATAAGGGGTGTAAACCATGTTGCACAGAAAGTTCTCTGACAAGGAGATGAGCACGTTCTTCACCCGCTGCAGGAAGGTCATGCGGTCTGGGTTAGAGGACAACGACTTGGGCACGTAGGACGGCGGGCTGGGGCACTGGGTGGCCGCCACGTCCAGGCTGCACGGCAGTCCGTTCAAGAAGTGTACTGTGGGCAGACCCAGGTGTTGGGCCACGATGGAGCCACATGGAAGGAACGGGTCTGTCAACATGACATCGAAGTTTTGTTCGGCCAGCCAGGCCATGAGCTCCTTGTTATACAGGAAGTGGTGGCAGGAGGACAAAAGCCGGGCAGAGTTCTCTTGCGCATTCTTGTATAGCTTGACAAAACGCTGCAGGAAAGGAAGATTATCAAAACTCAAGTGCCCGAAACTGACAAAAGCTGCTTCCAACTCCTCCTTTGGGTACGGCACGGGGTACGTCTTCAAGGTGTAAAATGCTCCTTCTTTTATGTGTATCGAGGCTTCAGGAGCCAGAACCACTATCTCATGGCCCCGCTCTGCTGCAGCGCCTGGACAGTTCCCACCATACTCAGCCAGTGGCTGCCTTCAATGGGGACCAACAATATCTTCCCGGCACGGGACACAGAGGGCCCCAGGGCACACAGCAGCAGGCCCAGGACCAGCAGCCGAGGGCCCGGGAACACAGCAGCCATCGTGCCCTTGCCTGAGGTCCTGCCAGGAGCCTGCCCTCTGCATTTATACGTACGAGTGGCAAGCTGCACAAGTTAATGTTTGACTGGGTCACATGATCGCGGCTGTCTGTCTGCAAAGACAGCAGGAGGTTTACCTTCCCAGATAGAGAGGGTGTGGCACCTGTGCTTCTTAGCAGGTAACATTGTTTGATGTGGCTGGAATACCTTACTCAAAGTACACCTGGAGTGAACACACAAAGTGCCTTGGGCCCGTTAAACTAATGAACTTTTGCTCATGCAGTGGAACCCATTAAATTAATATGTCCATAAGACAAAAAAAGATTACCAGAGAGGAAAAAGAACTAAGTGGTGATAAACTGGACCTCCTTCACAGAAATGAAAGTCAAAGCCCATTAGAAGGAAGAGAACAGGACCCTCCTTTGGCCCATGGGCACCTTTAAAAAAGAACCCACGACATCTCACTCGGGCTCTTCCTCACCACGTGCATATCTTTTATTCACCCAACAACACTTACGTATGGGCTCTGGCATCCTGCTGGGTCTTCAGGCTGCAGTGGAGACCACCACGGATGAGCCTCCTGCCCCCAGAGCTGAGTCCAGTGAGACTCAGACTCAGGAGTTGGGCCGCAGCCAGCACCAGTGCAGGGGTGGAGAAAGGCTGGAAGGGAGACCCACCTGAGTGTGCATGCACGGATGTCTTCCCAAGGACAGATCTACATTCGGGCAGAGAGACGGCGGGACCCATCATCTGTGACTAGGAAACCTAATCAGATTGCAAACTGGAGCGAGCTGAACTGTGCCCGTCACACAGCCCGATGTCCAGGGGAAATAAGACACTGAGGAAATTCTGATGACCGAATTGAAGGTAAAGGGGAGAGGCAAACAGAAAGGATAACACGAATTTGCCTTTCTCGTGAGTGTACTGTGTGCCGAGTATGCTCTAAGCATTTCACAGCACATTTCTTGGAGTCCCTTAGACTGTTCCTAAAAGGGAGATACCATTAGGGCACTAGGAAAGTTAGGACTTTTTTATGCAATTATGTATCAGGACTTCCCGACGACCCAATCATTTCCCCTTTTACAA